ACACACAGAGAGCTTGCCGTCATCCCTCTTTCAAGGGAGTATTTGTTTGGAAAACAGGCCTACATAAAGGCAGGAGAAATCCTGACCAACAACAGCATAGCCTTTCATTTATCACTATTAATAGATAATTAAGGATAAATTGGTAATCAAAGACTACCAAACATGAAACTGAAGGACTAAGACGAACAGACCAAACTCCTAACTCTAGAAAAAAGGAAAAAGCAAACATAGGGGAATATTAAGAGTTTAAAATTAGTATTCCCAGAGAAACCTGAGAGGATAGAGAATCTATTACAGAAAAGAATAGGCTACAAAAAAAAAAAAAAGAGGTATCAAAACAACAAAAATTCCTAATAATTAGAGGCATGATGGTCAAAATAAAAATTTCAATAGAATGTTTGCTGAAAAGAACTAGAAGTCAGAATTTTAGTTACCTTTCAAGGGTACTTTACCATGAAGGGGCATAAGTGAGCATTCTAAGGTGTGGAAATGTTCTGTATCTTGATCTGTGTGATGGTCACATGGGTACGTACATATGTAAAAATTAACGGAGTCCTATACTGTGGATTTGTGTCAAAAAATTCTCCTAAAAAGTAGTGCAAAAGAGCAAAGCAAAGCTCAAAATAAAATTCAGGAGATATAGAATAATCCAGGGAGTCCCAACATCAGTCTCATTTGAGCTTCCAAAAGAGGGAGCAGCAAATGGAAAAGAGAAAATAATAATTTTAAAAAGATAGAAGAAAATTAATCAAGAGTCATCTTGAAAATACAAAAGAGGTTCAATTAAAAAGGTCGATTCTAGTGAAAATTTAGAATTCCAATAAGAAAGACAAGATTTTGAAAAAAATCCATATATTAGATCCATTGTTTTGTTCTCTTTAGGGTAAATTGGAGACAATCTGAAATTTATTTTATTAATATCTTCCTTTCAAGGGACCAATGTGTCACACTGCAAACTCCCACAGGGTAAGGAATGTCTCTTCTACTTTCTTTGCTTAGATGAATACAGAAAGCTTTATTAGGTGCCACCTATGGTTGGCTTGCTGAATGTATGATTTCCAATGGTATCAATTTTCATTGAATCTCACACCAATTCTTCCATAACTAGGTATGGATACTGGCATCATGTTAAACAATATCAAGAACCCATATTATAAAATTAATGAGTCTTATTCCCTACTATTTTCTTAAATACTACTATTTTAAAAGCTCTTTTCACTTAGGTAACAGTAAAAAGGTGGCTAAGGACTTCCCTGGTGGCGCAGTGGTTAAGAGTCCGCCTGCCAATGCAAGGGACCTGGGTTCGATCCCTGGTCCAGGAAGATCCCACATGCTGCAGAGCAGCTAAGCCCTGGAGCCACAACTACTGAGCCTGCACTCTAGAGTCCATGCACCACAACTACTGAGCCCGCGTGCCACAACTACTGAAGCCCGCACGCCTATAGCCCGTGCTCCACAACAAGAGAAGCCACCGCAATGAGAAGCCCACGTGCCGCAACGAAGAGTAGCCCCCTCTCACTGCAACTAGAGACAGCTCGCACACAGCAACAAAGACCCAATGCAGCCAAAAAAAAAAAAAAAAAAGGCAGCTAAGTGTCATTTTTCCCTATTGCTGCCAAAAAATGTATGTCAGAATGAAGGTATATACTCTGTTTCGGTTCCCAACCTGGGTGTATAAAAGAATCATCTGCATAACTTAAAAACTACAGCTGCCAGGGCTTATCCAAGTAATGCTGAAATAAAACTTTTGAGGGAGGGTTTAAGTTTATCTACTTTAAAAAAGCATAAAATATTGATGTGATTCCCCTTTTAAGAACCATTTTTAAAGCAACAAATGCACTAAATCAAAAACAGCAGATGAATACATATAAATTAATGACCAGGTTTTATTATTCAATAAGATAAATCAAATGCAATTAAAAGCACACAAAAGTTTTGGGATTTTGTTTTATTTGAAGAGTATGTAGTAGGAATGTAAAATATAAAAGTTTAAAGTCTCCATTTTAAAATTGAAAAGATAAACATAAATTCCATTCAATAAAAACAACACATTTTTGGAACTGGGAATCTATATTATGCTCAGTTAAAGAAAGAAGATTTGGAATGAGGGGAAAAAAGGAGGAAATGAAAAAGGTTGAACGAGAGAAGGAAGATGATAAACAAACTGAACAGGAAAGGAGAGTGTAATAGGGTAAAAGGGAGAGAGACTAACAAAAATACCCTTGGTCCCTTAGCTCCCTTCCGGCTACAAAGTCCAAGACAACAAAAAAAACAAAGCAAGTTCTTCACCATATTAATTTTTATTTTTAATTCTCAACATTTAAGCATCATTCATGTCATATTACTTCATCTCTATTAAGACAGGAACCCCAAATATCAAATTATTATGTTGTACACCTGAAATTAATATAATGTTATATGTCAATTATTCCTCAATTGAAAAAAAGCTGATCTTTCAACTTTTAGGAATAAATGACAGCGCTGCAAAAAAAGAAGACAAAGATATTAAAAGAAACATGTTTATCAGCTTAAGAACTAAAGGTATGTATTAATTTATGAATGCTAAATATTTAGCAATGTACACACTTAAAAAATTTTTTTCATTTTACATAAGTTTCTCCAGTTTCTCTTCAAATTTGAGTTTCTGCAAGACATTGAAAATATGGCTCAATTTCCAAAAATGTAAAATGGACAAAATCCTTCATAATATATACCATGAAGTGCACTTGTATTCAATACAGAAAAACTCAAACTGGTTTCAGTAGCTCACAGATCAGTCATCATCTTGACCTTTCCCATCACAATCCACGTTCCACATTTTATACCTATTGACCCTTTACAGATGACTTAATTTCTCTGAGCCTCAGTTTCCTAGTTTGAAAATGGCGTTAATAATCACTGCCTCCAAGAGTGGTTAGGGTTGGCATGGTTAAGTGTACATAAAGTGTTTAGGAGAATTTTACACATAGTAACCATATATGGTGCCATTAATATTATTAACTTGTCTCATGTTTCCATTTGAATTCCTTGCTTTGGTCATTTACATCATACATTTGTAATTAAGATCTACTAATTACAATAAACTTGAGGATATTTCAATTTATAGAAATTTATTAGCCTTTTAAACAAGAAACATAGTTCACATATATGCACAACACAAGCAGAGATCTGATTTAGAGACATGATTCAAGTGCAAGTTCAGGAGCCAGAAATCCTAGAGTTTGAATCCTGGGTTTACTAGTTACTAGTTATGTGATCTTGTATATCCAAGTTATGCAACCTATCTGAGCCTAAAAGACACTGAAGCATTTACAACAGAACCAGTTACTTTGTAAAACATAATGTTAAACACTACAAATATCCCCAGAATGAATCTTCATTGCTCAGAGATTTAGATGGCTGCTGAGTTTCCTTTGTCTAAGTAAATTCCCATTATTTTGCCTTTGCTGCCTTGAACTTTATATCAACATCTGTGAGATAATTTTTTATTTAGATGAAATTATGTGGTTCAAGAGCTATCATTAAGATGTTTTTTTCTTTTTTTTCTTTTTTCTAATTGAAGTGGTATTTCTGTACAGGCTCAAAAGGAAGTGAATTCTACCACTTGGTTCATCTTCTGAGAAGCATTTAAGTATCATTAATGGAGTCTCTGAACAGAGTACAGGAATGATCCTTTCCTTCAAGCAAAGAAATATCAGTCTCTAGAAAGTTCTAGGGACTCTGGGTACCTTCTATGGCTCTGAACATACTGTTCCAAAAACTGTATTCTTGTAGTCATGTATCAGCAGCAGCCATGACAAAGCTGCTTTGGGGGATTCCTTTAGTCCTCAGGGTCCTATGAAGCCCCTCACATAGGGATAATCTCTGAGAGTGAGATGGGTGTGGGTTCCCCTAGATGTTTACAGTCCAAACTGGGAATCTCCCAGAAATCAATGAAGTGAACCCCAACACCAGTTTTTACTTAAATGTGGAAAAGGGAAAAAATGTGGTCTGTGCCCATTATCTTATGCTGGTAAAGGTCTCAGTGGCCTCTGTTACCTTAGCCCCACGGAAGGTGCCTAATACTGGAACTCTAAATGGCAGTTCCCAATTGATTTATTAATGCCAGAGTGTCAACTCTATTGTGGTTCAGGTAGGATATGTGTATATCATGTCCAAGTAATTTTGTAATAAGAAATGGGCTTTTGTAATGATTATCAGCATACTTTGTCCTACCCATGTAATATATATTTAAAAATAGAATTATTCTATTAAAATATTTCCTATGGAATACTTTAGCAGTTAGTTTCATTTGACAAGTTTCAACATTTCTTGTAGAGATCAGGTAATATTTGAATTTCTTATTTCTTTGTGATTAGACAATTAAAGATATGATATTTCCTCATTTCAAGGAACAGGAGAATAATTACATGTTCATAATTCTATAATAAACTCAGGCTCTAGTTTATATTCCATCACTGAGTCTCTTACCTATAGCTTACTTAAATTTATATAAAATTAAAATAGATCCAATAAACCATTTTGAAGATCTGAATCAACTTTGGTCAAATCTAAATTATTTCAGACAGTGGGCAAATGTAAAAATAAGTAAAATAGGATGTTATATTGATCTCACTGTTGTCAAATGAAAAATTGCTTTGAAAATGTCACTTGTCTGGAAACAGACAGTGATATTTTCTCACAGGTAAAATTTTAGCTGGAGTACCATTCTTTTTTTTTTGCGGTACGCGGGCCTCTCACTGCTGCGGCCCCTCCCGCTGCGGAGCACAGGCCCTGGACGCGCAGGCTCAGCGGCCATGGCTCACGGGCCCAGCCGCTCCGCAGCATGTGGGATCCTCCCGGACCAGGGCACGACCCTGTATCCCCTGCATCGGCAGGCGGACCCCCAATCACCGCGCCACCAGGGAAGCCCTCGAGTACCATTCATTTTTAAAGCCTTCTCAAGACACCATGGAATCCATACACAAGCATTTTAAAGGGCAATTGAAAATAAATCATACCTCACATCAACAGTGATAACTCATGTGGATGATATGTTCTCTTGATATATGATGAGAATGGTGCTTTACTTGTATAGTCGTCCTCCCCAAAATTCAAAACTTTGATCCTAATCATGAGAAAAACATCAGAAAACCCCAAGTCAGGGACATTCTACAAAATACCTGACCAGTACTCCTTCAAATCATCAGTTATCAAAAACAAGTGAAGTCTGAGGAACTGTGACAGCCTACAGATGTCTAAGGAGACACGATGGCTAAATGTAATGCTGGTATCCTGGGCAGGATCTTGGATGAGAAAAAAAGACAGTGGCGAAAACCTAGGGCAATCTGAGTAAAGTATTATTACTTAATAATAACAATGTATCATTATGGTTTCATTAATTGCAAGATATATACCATAAAAATGTAAATTGTTATTAATAGGGGAAACTGGGTATGGAGTACATGGGAACTCTGTACTACCTGCATAATTTTTCATAAACCTAAAACAATTCCAAGATAAAAAGTTCATTTAAAAAAAAAGAGACAACACAGGTATAAAATTACACTAATATTATGTAAAGTTAACAATGTATCAGTAATTTTATTTTATCAAGTAAATACATTGCCATTATTTAGAATGTACCTAAGTGATAACAGACCTACAAAACTGAGCTACTTTAATTTAAATGGGTTATAATTAATACATAAAAATATTTTGCATAGTAAAAAATAGCATCGCTTTGATAAACAGGAGATCCATTAGAAATGCTGAACAATTTTTAAGTTATTATGCTTGGGAGGGTAATTTTTATAAATGTGCCCTCTTGGGTAAGGAATAAGCTTACAACTTATAAACACAGAATTGGACTGGAGTCACAATGTCTGAGTCCTAATTATACTTGAGATCATTATGACTAAGTAGGCTAAAAAATTCATCTATAAGGGATTCATATGTGTTTTCTTTTAGAATAAGGGTAATTTAGCTCACTCGGTAGTGTTAAGCATACCAAGTATTTTTTTAAGTTGTTAAATTAATGCATTATTATATGATGATGCAGTTAAGCTATAAAAGGCTCTCTTTTGGTTTCTGTATTACTTTAGAAACTGTGGGGTAACACTGCGATGAAGGAAATCTATCTGACTCAGAAATTCTCATTTTACTGACTTCTAAACACCTGATAATAGTCAGGGATACACTTAATTAACCATTTCTTATAACGAAAGTCCTCTGTTGCCACCATGGCATTTTAAAACCCTCATCTATGTTCAGTGACATCCCCTTTACAATTTTTCTACTCATAAAATCTAAAATCCCATGATAAAAGAGAAAGTCATCATCAGGAGATGCGAGAGGCAACCTTTACTTCCAGTACGAACTGTTATGATATAAGCTCTCTTTTATCAGAACTACAAAACTTCAGATGAGTCTGGAAGTTCTGCTCTACATCTTGGCACCAAAGGAAACACTTGGATCCTTCCTATACCCAGCTGCAGTACATGAGAGGAATACCTAGATCATACAAATCCTACCTGTCAGCGACAAGGAAGATGAAGCTGAAACACTCCAAGATAAGAGGAAGTGTACATTAATCATCCAGTAGCTCTACTATTTAGATAAGAAAGTGAAAGCTGCTGGAGGACTGAATCTGGAGAGTATAGGGAAAAAAGCAGTAACTAAACCAGGTTTGAGTCCATTCCTGGCTGCTCCCTGAATTGTAATTAGAAGGTCTCTCAATAGACGTTCATTTTGCTGATACGTGAACACCTGATAACATCACTGGAGGAAGGCAATAGACAGATATGCCCTGGCTGTACAAATTGTGTTCCATTCATGGCAGGATGACCATGGCATTTATGTTGCGAAGCAAGATTTTTTGTCAAGAATAAATGCTACATCACATCAGACACCAAGACATAAATTGGGACTGTTCTGGGCAAACTTCGATATGTGCTCATCCTACTTTTGAGACAGCCTAGAAGTTATCAAAAAGGACCTAAGATCCTTACAAGGCATTCCTTTGTAATACTTTCCTTTTTATGGGAGCATATAAGACTAACTGTCTTGATCATCATTTGTCTAGGTGTACCACAGCTACTGTGTGCTTTGCTGAAAGACAGACGTTATGGTTGCACAGCAGTACCAAAATAAACATAGGCAGAACTTAAATCTTAAATCCTTAAGATTTAATCATAATGACATTGCTACTCTTTGGGAATCCTACATCTTGCTTAAATGACATCCCAGGGAGTCTTCTAGCCTGGGACCTCAGATAACTAAAGATTCCCAGCTTCAGGTGCAGGCTGGAAGCACCATGGGTTATATTCAAATACTGCTTGGCATTGCATTTAATATGCAATAAAATGTCTATAAAAACCCTTTGACTAATCTTTTAATTTGCTGTCTTGATATATCTAATTTTGATCAAAATAAATACATAATTTTAGCTCTAATTTGGGAAGAACCTCTAACACTTCCTATCAGTTTATCATTTTTGAAAATTGTACGAATTTTCAAATTGTCAATTGTTCTACCTCTGTTGCTTTATCTTCCTCTTTGCCAGGTCACGGTTCAGTAAAACCAGTGGTTGTAACCCATTATGTTTAGGGATTTAGGTGATGGCCATATTATTTGTTTCGTTATCTGAAATTTAAAAATTAACCAAAAATTTTTCACTTAAGTAGGCAGTAAGGAGACTAGAATTAAGACAGCCTTTATGAATCTATATGCAATCCTCTATTTCCTCAATTTGCTTTGAACTTTATATAATTTCTTACAATGTCATCAGTAGTCACTAAATATAGTACACTTTACCATTTAACTGCCTATCTTCATTGTGGATTTATCTTGTGCATATCCTAGTAATTCCTCACATCTAGCTGGTACTAAGGAGCCTTCCCTTACAAGATGGGTTAGATGAACTAATATGTGTCATCATCGAACTATAGCCCATAAATATATAGCTTCACTTGACTGATTGTTAGAATTAGGTGTCTCTAGGAATCTTTAAGATTATATGATCCTAGAGAGCAGTGTATCCTTAGTCTGTAATTGTGCTTAGAACAAAGTAGACCTGCCACTTGGTTTTGTAGTCTCGTGGTCACTGACAATCCAGAACATTAGAAGGTATAAAAATATCCTTCTAGAGTGAACAGTTCTGTGTTTTTACCCCATTGCTGGTTGAGTGGTTTGTTTAGTTTGGAGAAATTCATGGAACTATATATTTAGGATATATGTACTTTTCTGTAAGTATATTGTACTTCATGGAAAGTTTAAAAAGATGAATGTGAAATTTAAAAACTTTTCTCAGAAAACACAAACTGAGAGAATTCATCACCATATGAAAATATACATTAAACATTAAAGGAAGTTTCTAGGCAGAAGGAAAAGATCCTAAGGGAAGAAGAGTGGAAATACAGAGAGAAATGAAGAACATCGGAATGGGTATGTGTCTGTGTATATAAAAGGAAAAACTGACTCTACAAAAATGAATGACTATACAAAGCAATAATAATTCTGTATCATGGATTTTAAGACGATGTAGAATAAAATGCATGAATGAATTCCAGTTTATATATTTTCTTGAATCCATCATTATGTATACAAACTAGATTTCCTTTAATCTTATTTAATTTTTACTTATTTCACCCTGTAACATTTGAGTTTTATTATTAAGGTAATTGTTCTCAGGTTTCAAAAAAAGAAGATGGAATTTTCTTCTCTGTTATGTAGAAAACACTGTCCATGAAGACCTTAGTGCACACTGTTGTATAAATATTACTATTTTCAAAGTAGCCTTATTTTGAAAGAGCCTTCAATAACTGAAAATTAGAAAATGAATCTTAAATGACCAGCCATCAGTTAAAGTATTTTCAAATTATTTGTATTAAAATTTATTTTTAAATGCCATCACAATAAACTGTCAGCAGAATTAACAGGATGTGCTTTGGGGATTTTTCTTTACTAAGCTACAAAAGACTAAAGCAAGAAGACCTAAATATTACGAATTCCTTATTGGTCAAATTATTAAGACAAACTGAAGGTAATCCTGATTTTAAGATCACCTCCCAATAGGTTATACAAATAATAATTGTTACATGTGTGAAATCATATGATGTTAATATTCCTTTAATATGTCCATTCCATTTTACTTACTGTTCAACAAATATTTTTAAACTGATTACTAAGTGTCAGACACAATACCAGGTTCTGGGGACACAAATACAAAATAGGCAGCCTTGGTCCTTGTCCTCTGGGACCTACAGTCTATTGGGGAATATGGGAAGGCAAACAATTGGAATCCATCTATCATATGACAGTAATGAGAATATATGGAAAAGGCACCTGACCTGGACTCTGGAAGGAAGATTTTGGTCAAGGAGGGAAGATTAGTAGAGGTTGGGTGGTCTGTACTATGACTTGTAGCCCCGATAAGTCCTCTGCCTTGGCACTCTTTATTTGTAAGACTGTTAAGCGCCTACTATGGTCCAGGAGCTGTCTTTTGTCATTTTTTAGGTTTGTCCCTAGCTTGATCGTCTTCTCCACACTCAGATTTTCTAAACAATAAAAAAATCATCTCTGGGGCTTCCCTGGTGGCGCAGTGGTTGAGAGTCCACCTGCCAATTCATGGGACACGGGTTCGTGTCCCGGTCCGGAAAGATCCCACATGCCGCGGAGCGGCTGGCCCCGTGAGCCATGGCTGCTGAGCCTGCGCGTCTGGAGCCTGTGCTCCGCAACAGGAGAGGCCACGGCGGTGAGAGGCCCGCGTACCGCAAAAAAAAAAAAAAAAAAAATCATCTCTGGCTTTGTCCTTCCATGGACTCTGAAATGTATAACTTCATAAGCTCTTTAGAGTCTATTCCTGGATTTATCTAATCTCAGGCTATTCTAATTTAAATTTTTTAAAAGTTTGCACAAAGCTTGTAAAGATTAAATCATAATTTAGCTGTACTGTGCATAATATCAACCATCACTGCATTCCATAAATTTTTTGTTTTAACCTCAGGTTTGGAGAGTTAATCTCCCCAGATCATGCCCATCGTCACCACTGGCCATGCAAAGCCTCTCTTTATTATTATTTTTTTCTTTATTCAGCCCGGTATGCCAGTCCTGTTTACTCCAGCCCCC